AAGACATGTCCGGGTTACTTCTGACTCTTCTGCTTGTCGGATACGGAATGTACGGTAATCGTAAACTGTGGCTATTATACATACGAAATGTAAACAGACGGTGTTCAGTGTTGCCATTAATGCCATATGACTTTGGAGACAATTTCTTTTAAAATAAAGTTCTAGATTTCTCATTCACCAAATTTCCGTATCAAGAAAAATCATACATTATTGAAAGATAATTAAAGGCATACTGTACTGAGTATTACGTCTGTTCCTCCACAAACTGCTCATGCGCGGCAGCGCGACGTAGAATTGATGGCCAGGATTGCGCGAACACGTGCACGAAGAGAATCAATTTTCATTACATTGCGCCAACTGTGCACAGCAATGGCACAAAAAATGTGAAAATGCGCGGGAAAATTCACCGAAAACATACATCATCCTGAGTGTGGCATACTGGAAATTGGGAACTTGGGATTCATGCTTCATAGGCTCATAGCCCAAAAATTCATGAATCATTGAATGCACATCTCCAAAAACCCAATTGCAGCTCAAACAGATGTTTTTCATTCTATGTTTTTTTAATCAATTTGCTGCTATTTGCAATAATAATCCACTGTGCAGAGAGTGAACGAAGATTCAAAGACCTACGGCAACGCATTATCGGCAAAATTTTCGCCTTCAGAAGATCTTGCCGACACATTTAGATTGAAATTCTTGCATTTAATATATTTCTCAGTCTTCAGCCAACTATTTAGAAAAAAGTAAGGTTTCCGGTACGTTGGATGGATTACAATGCAGCGAAGCTTGTCTCACTTTTCCAGAAAACCACAAAATCCACGAAATATCCAGGATATTGACAGAATCCGGAAAATCCATGGTTGAACCAACCGGATTGGTTCAACCAACATGGTTGAATCCAACCAATGCATCGGACTTTTTAAAATATAATATAATAATATAATGATAAATAATATCTGTGTCCAGTGTCCGTTAAGCCAGTCGTCGATTTGTTTCATTCTAGAAAATTCACAGCTTGTTGCGGGTCTCGAACACGCAACTGGCTGCTCCAATTTTACTGTGCTTAACGATAGGCCACCTTGCCAATTTGAACAGAACAGTCGAATGAACAAATTCACTGCTCCTATCTTGGTATTGTGAACTCCAATGGCAAACTAGCCGTGGTAAATCTGTCGTGAATGCTTTTAAAACACCTTATTTGACTGAAAACTTTGATCTTTCTCCAATGATATTCACATGATTTCATATTTGCCGGCTATTGTTCTTCATTGGCAACAATGGTGCATCCAATATCATGTTAAACAACATAATTCAGTGAAATTTCAAAAATTAATTTCACTCGATTTTGTGAAATTCTGCACGATATCTTTCATTCGGTTTTCATTGTTATCGACATAGGCCTTTTTCCTTTAGAGCAGAAACTAAACTACGTTGGAAAAACATTGCTCTATTCAACGGACTATGCAATAAATGTCTTGTGTAGATAAACGACAAAATATATTGAATATATATTGAAAATATGTCGATATATTATAGGTGCGAAATTCATTTCTTCCGACACGATAACACAGAATCTTGAGCAATGGTAAGCCTTCGAAAACTTTTGTTGGTGACTACATGAGTTATTCTCATGTGTTTTGCGGAGGAATGCCTCAATTCATGAGACGAATACGTGCACTAACTTTCAATTGGATCGTCTTCCTCATTAACCAAAGATGGTAAGTCAGAAAACATTATTTTCTCTTAGTCGGAAATAAAAACTTTTCGGACTAATCAGACGCTCATACGAGTTCCTAGATTATCATAGTCAGAAAAAAACTTCTTGGACTAATCAGACGCTTATATGAGTTTCTAGATGCAGAAGCGATGAAGCAGTTGCTTGTTGCTGTCGTGTGCCCTAATTTAGAATTTGGAAACGTTGTGTGGTCGCCGAGATTTTAAAAAGACAAAAATTTAATATAGAATGTTCAAAGACGTGCAACAAGGATAATTCCAGGCTTGAAGCGCAAGTCCAATGAAGAAAGATTAAAGATTATGAACCTTCCAAGCCTCAGTTATCGACGGCTGCGTGGGGACCTCATTGAAGTATACAAGTATTCTCATGGTTTATACAAGGTCCCCGAAGGATTACTAGAATTTAAAACAATAACCAACACCAGGGGCCACGGCTATAAACTAAAAAATCTGCGCTGCAACTCAACAACATTTCTTCTCGCTTTGAATCACCGACATGTGGAACAGCCTCCTGATTACATCGTTGGCGCTCCGAGTATGAACGCGTTCAAGAACAGACTAGATAAAGCTATGGAAAAATATATGTTCAGACATGAAATGCCTAGCACCATATCGAACCCGGTGGAAGTCTAGTAGCTATTTCGAACTATCTTTAGTCCTGAAAAGATCCGGTCAAATGACACGATTTTAGATCTTCTGTGAACAAGGCACGAAAAGTAAAAGAATCGGCGACAGTCCACATCAGGCCTACACTTCAGCGCCGACATCACAATGTTATGTTATGTTATTACGAGACCAGATATAAACATGCCACTGAGCCTACTGCTGTGACAAGTAGCATACCACTGAGCCTGCGATTGTTGCAAGTAAGTGAAGTCACATACCACTGAGCCTGTCAGTTTGCAAGTAACATGCCCCTGAGCCTGCAATTAAGTGCGCAAGCAACATACCACTGAGCATGTCAGTCTTCCAAGTAACATATCACTGCCTAAAATTATTATCTATGCTGAGATATTTCTAGTTGGAGGAGGGGAATTTGGGTTTGGCCGGAATTTGGGTTATAATTTGGCCGGGTACATTTTCCCAACATTTCTTGCAATGGTATGGGGAACCTTCCTCATTTCTTCAAATACACATTTTACGATAGAAGCTAAACTCCAACCTCTAGTCAGATTCAGAGACAGCCCACGGGACAGATTCCATACAAATGCCAACTACGCAACACCTCCACGTTTTGTCCTCCACATCTACGTTATGGAGTGAGACTTTCAGAGTGCGTCTCGTCTGAGGTGGTGGCCTCGAGGTGTTGGGACGATCTGGGGACTGCGGCGTCAGCTCGTCTTCTTGCGGAGGACGGGTCTCGGCGAGAGCTGAGGAGAGGACCGGCTGCTGCAGGTTGGTTGCCCGTCACTGAAGCTCAGGGTGTTGTGGCGATTTGTAGCTCCGGCCGGTTTCCATTATGGATAACCGTCTCCCATTCAATACTCTCAACCCAAATAATAAAACCCTTTTTGTCTTTCACATGAATATATATATTCCTTAGAAAGCCAATTTGTTCTATAAATCTCTCATTTTAAGATTACCATTTAAATTTCAAGAGCATAGCTGCCAAGTTTATTAACCAATCACCAAAGTGCGATCAAACCTGTCGACCAATCCGTCATGGGAATGACGGGTTTGTTAACGTTTCTCGATCTACGTGACGTAACAACAAAGCTTAACTGAAAGACGGAACTTCTCGTGGGTCAACCTTATATAGTTCAACCATGAGTTGAAGCTCTTGCTCCCGATTTTCCGAGGACTTCCACCGGGCAGCAGCTCGGGCCAGTCCTCTTTTTTCTTAACTATTGTGTTCGCTTAACACAATTGAGATACAGTAAACTCAGTATATTAAAATTGTTTCCTTGACATTATTTCTCCGGTGTAATGCAATCTTTCCTTCCACTGAAAAGGGAGGTCGCGCTAAAGTTTTGTACAACCACTGAGCCCGCCAGTGCGACAAGTAACATGCCACTGAGTCCGCCAGTGCGGCAAGTAACATGCCACTGAGTCCGCCAGTGCGGCAAGTAACATGCCACTGAGCCCGCCAGTGCGGCAAGTAACATGCCACTGAGCCCGCCGGTGTTGCACGCGTGGACAGTACAGCAAGTCGTAGGTCAATGACAAGAAGTAAATCTAAATAGGATGTTGATGAAACTAAACAGCATGTTTATAGAAATATTTTATTTATAAATTTAAATCTACTCTCATCATGGTAATTTTTCTCCGTGCTCGCCGTAGTGAGTTAATAAATACAAGATATAGAAATAAAGCACAATACCGTTTAGCGTAAAAATATTTTATGATTCATCTCCGTAAATAGTTTATAATAAATAAATATTGAGACATAAATTACGATCGGTTTATAGTTAAAAGAGGCTCTTGAACAATTAATTTGTGATAATATCGATAGAATCAACAATAATAGATACGATTTAAGTAGTTTAAATATATATTACGAATTTTATTAACTTACCGCTATGGTTATTAGTCATGCAACTTTTGAGACTATCTGACGAAGCTCTCAGACACATACAACAACCGTGGAATCACGGGAGCTAGAATCATTAGAATAACGATGGAATAGAATATCTTCAGAATCATTAGAATAACGATGGAATGGAATATCTTCAGAATCATTAGAATAATGATGGAATGGAATAACTTCAGAATCATTAGAATAATGATGGAACAGACTAACTTCAGAATCATTAGAATAAAGATGGAATGGAATATCTTCAGAATCATTAGAATAACGATGGAATGGAATAAAGTTAGAATCATTGTAATAACGCAAAAAAAATGAATGCGTTACCAGGCCTCAATGCGTATCGCACTAATAGCGTTGACGGCGCGTTATATATATAGTGTTCGATGTTATAGCGTGTAGTTGGTCGAGCTTTACATATGTCATTGAATACCTGAGCAATTCAAATTCTTCAAACCTTAAGAAATATTTTATAGTTACGGGCTAGCAGAGTATAGTTTCTTGCGTGAAATTATTAAGAGAGCTACGCCATTGGTTCTGCTTATTATGATCCATGCCGAAACTTGATAGTTATGTTAAGATTATCATAAATCTTGGTTATTATATATAATAAAATTGAGATAAGAAAAATGCGCATAAGAAATATGCAATAGATATCCATTTCGGTCAATACTTCTTGTATATTATTTCTGAAAACAAATTTGAACATTTCTGGACATTGATTAAAAGAAGAAACACTACATATAATAATTAATATTTAAGCAGGATACATGAGAAGACGTCAGAAAATTTCTTTGCGGAAGGCGAAGCCGAACTCGTCGCACTTGTAGCGCAGCGTCCGCGCCAGCGCCGGCGGTCCGCAGTAGAAGACCGTGACCCGCCCCCGCCCCTCCCCCTGTAGCTGTCGGAACACCTGTGCAGGGAGGGGGTGGGAGGGGTGATGGGAGGGGTGATTTATTTATAAACCTCAGGAATTAATTGTGTATATTTTCTCCCCTAGCATTTGTCTTAAGACCTTTACTCGGCTTCCGTCCTGCGTTCCCGGAATTTTGATTTCACTTCTTCGGGTGGAACTTACGAGACCAAATATATGATTATTTATTGCTCTGTTTGAATATATGATTATTACTCTGTTTGAATGTAAGAGTATTGCTCTGTTTGAATCTATGAACAGTGCTCTGTTTGAATATATGATTATGGCTGTGTTTAAATACATATATGATTATTGTTTTGTTCGAATATATGATTATTGCTCATTTTGAATATTTGATTATTGCTCTTTTTTGATTACATGATTATTACCCTGTTTGAATATATGATCATCGCTGTGTTTGAATAACGAAACTTTACCTGGAAACAGTTAGTCAACATTATATTTCTTTCACTCGACTAGGAAAGTTGAAGCCTCAGCCTTCCTGACCTGCGTCTCACCTTCGGCAGCGTCACCTCCAGGCCTGCAAAAGACGTAAATATAATCTGTTGAGTCATAGAAGTGTCAGCTCAATATTATGATAATAAGTGAAGTATCAGCTCAATATTATGATGATAAGTGAAGTATCAGCTCAATGTTATGATAAGAAGTAAAACTAATATCAAAATGAAACCAGAAATTTTGCTGGGTTGCGATGATTTCCATCGTCCATTCTTAAATCCTCATTTAAAGAAGAAATCTATTATGAGCAATTTAGTGGTCGTAATTATGTTATGCACTATTAAGATTTGCACAATCAAATATAGTACAAGAAAATTCATCAATCAATTCGGGAGATTTGTAATGATATTTCTAGAAGAGAATAGTATAAACTCTGTATGTGATGATCAGAGCCGAGAAAATAAATAAATACTATTATGAACAGAACAAACAACGATCACTACGCAACAGGGTTTCAGCAACGTATGTGTGAATTGATTTCAATTTTAAATAATATCGTCTCCTTGAATGCGATACGGACTCTAATTTTACATTCCGTACTTAAATAATATATTTTATACGGAAAACTGGGCAAGTCGATCCTCACTCGCGCTGCGGCAGGCGCGGAGGGTGGACGTTGGTGTGTTGCTGCCGCTGGAAGTAGTCGTACAGGCGGTTAGTCCACTCACCCACAGCACGGATGTGCAGCCACAGCGCACCTGCAGGGTGATAATCGTGTTATTGCGCGATTACCTGAATAAATTCCATAATATAAATTATTATTCTGTTTACTTGCTGAGGGATAGTGAAATGATGTGTGTAAATCTTTCATTGTACGGCAAACATACAGCATTCCTTCTACATCAACATTCGACGTAATTTCAATGATAGATAATTTGACTACGGATATATTTTCCGACGTCAATGCAGTTCGAATCTAGTGGGTTGGAAGAAGCGGTCCCGTCAGTACATTAAGTGTTAATAGAAAGATATCATACCGAGTACTCAAGCAAGCTATTAACAATTGAATTAACATCGTCACATTGAAAACACAGCACCTCAAATTAAACTGCGAACGTTCACAAGTAAAATGTGTTCCTTCATTTGGTTGAGTCTGGAGAAAATTTTTTGTGGATTTTGATGAATTATAAAATAATTTAAATTATCAATGAACCATGCAAGATGACTAAGCAATTGGCAGACATATGCGTAAATTTCTCTCGAGCTTTTTTATCTCTCATCAGTAGTAAAACAGAGGAACTTGATCCTGGCCTCTAAATATTGGCAGAATAACAAGGTCACATATCCATGTCATTTACAGAGAATATTTACCCGAATATTTACCCATGTCATTTACAGTGAATATTTACCCGAATATTTACCCATGTCATTTACAGAGAATATTTACCCGAATATTTACCCATGTCATTTACAGTAAAGGAGACTCAGGACTCACCGTCGTGCTCAGGAGCGGACGACAGGGTGAAGGGATGCCACTCGTACTTGGCTATCGCAGGGACGTTCACGTAGACGAAGTCCCCAGCGTGGAACTGGAAGTTCGGTGGCCTCTGGATCACCAGGTTTACCACCTTCGAGGGCAGCAGCACTCCGGAGCTGCGGGGTTAATATTACTTGAGAATTAGAGCTTTGAAGATAGGATATTAATTCCAAAGCTTAAGGATTTTTATTAGAAAATAAAAGCGCTCCCTGTGGTGGCATGGATTAGAAATGTTGTAAAAATGTTGGCTAGAGTTTCGAGATTATCAGCCACTGATGGGGCAGGCAGGAGCATATGTTCAGTCTTGAAATGCCTAGCAAATTACGGACCAGGCAATAAGTCCGGTGCTATCTCAATCAATCGTCAGCTATGGAAAGATCGGGTTCCAAAGGCCGGATCCCTTGTGAATCAAGTCACGAAAAGTTCAAGAATCGGCCACAGGCCATGGGCCTATTTCTTCAATGCCGACACTTCTATTCTATTACAACAGTGCAGTAAACAACACCCCTGCTCACTCGGGGAGTATTAAGACTGCATCAAGGCGCTCAGCGGGATAGTCGCTTATGGAGTTTCTTAACTATTACTAGGTTCAATAACTCCCCTCATAAATAAGATACAATGCTAAAATTCGGAATGCTATCCTGGCTAATTATTTTCAATTTGCAGACATTAAGATAAATAATGCAAATTTTTTCTTCCAGCTGTTATCCGGAAGTATATAATTTTGCACCCCGATGTTCGTAGAGCGTGCGACTTTTCAACCATTTTCTTGATGTATGCAGGTTTAACTATTTATTCTTCATTGATCGCTACTCCAAACATTTCTGAATTATTCTTTTGAAAATGAATGAGTCATTAGAGTCGTATTCCCGCTCGTTTTCAACCGTCGGCTTATCCAATCGTCAACGGTTCTACATATATTCCCAATTTTGAGCATTTCTATCCTAATCAGAGGTGATGGGAGGTGTGGTCGAATCCAGAAATGGTCGACCTTTAAGGCGCTTAGTAACCGCCTTAAAGGCCTAACTAATTTTGATAACTTTTGTAATTCCGTTTATTATATTTTAATTTTATCGTAATTGTGAAGATAGCAGCGATAGCGCTTATAAGTACTGCATTGCAGAGTTGTGTGATAGTATGGATTTTTTGTAACAAATTCTTTTAATCAAATAAGACCTACAATCATTTATGATGAATTAACAGAATAAAACAGAAATTTTATTAAAGTTTTTACAAGTCTAGACCATTTTCAGGAACGCTCACGATTGACTGAATCAATTTTGATCTCATACGGCGCCGTTCGCTCAGATAATTTGACGTAAAATGCAAGAATCACAATCACAAAATGGATGAAATTAAAAATGATGAGTACAGATAATGCAGGCGCATCCTGACTCACTATGCATCCCGTACCTCGCACCCCACTCCCCGAGCTCCACATCCCGCACCCCACATCCCGCACCCCACACCCCGCATCCCACTCCCCGAGCCCCACACCTCGCACCCCACTCCCCGAGCCCCACATCCCGCACCCCACACCCCGCATCCCACTCCCCGAGCCCCACATCCCGCACCCCACATCCTGTCTCTTATACACATCTAGATGTGTATAAGAGACAGCTTGGGACCTGTTCCAGCCCCAGGATGAGATGAGCCGACATCGAGGTGCCANGTCATATCAAGAACTGATATTGTTCTACAACACGCGTCATATCAAGAACTGATATTGTTCTACAACACGCGTCATATCAAGAACTGATATTGTTCTACAACACGCGTCATATCAAGAACTGATATTGTTCTACAACACGCGTCATACCAAGAACTGATATTGTTCTACAACACGCGTCATATCAAGAACTGATATTGTTCTACAACACGCGTCTATACCATTAAACTGATATTGTTCGCTAATTAATAATCGTGGTATTACCTTCTCATGAAGTAGGTCGAGCGCGAGCTGCAGGCCGACGGCCTTCATGTCGGTCTTCTGCAGGGCGGAGGTGATGTACATGTGCATGTCGAGGAAACGATCGAGTACACCACCCTGCTCGGCCTGCTCGATCTCCAGCTGCGACAGCAGGTTCACAAACCACTCGAACGATCTCTGGTCCCGGTTGATCCAGAAGAAATCCACCTGCCCATCCAGATCAGATTCACTTTCTATATATGAATCCATTGTGTGCCAGAGTCAAGTTTCAAAGAAATCAACTTATCGAGCCTGAAAAGATTCATGTTTCAAAGAAATCATCCAGCTCATCCAGATCAAATTCACGTTCTGATATAACCCACCTGCTGACGCTGCATCAGTACTTGACAGCTAGCAGATGTCGAATATAAAAATATTTAAAACTTACATCAATTAGTGGACCAAGCTACTGGTAATTGCAACATTCCACCAAATTACAAGATATTTACGAATTTTTCCTTTAACAGGATTTTGAACGGGAAACCATGAACGATATCGCAAAAGCTAGCTTAAAATTTTGAACACTCATTATTGGCAGGCTGTTTTAAGTTCATTCTTGCCAAATTTTGTTACCATCGTATTTTTATCATAAAAATTGAAAAAAGAAATGCGTAGCAATGAAAATAACAAAATTACTACTCGGAAGAGAGTGAAGAAGTATCTCGCCCGCAGCTGGGATTATAATCATACAAAATTGATTCTGACTTATTTTAATTTGGATGATATCATTTGATCTTGATTGATATCATTTTGGACCGATGATTATGCACGCATGAACTGTATGTTCATAAAAATTGAAGGTTATAGCAGTTACTTTCGTTAGTGATCAAAATCAAATGGCAACGAACCATCCATGCTATGACTCCAGGCTGCTCGACGAGCTAATTTCAGCAGGTGTTGGCAGTAGATTAGACATCACTCTACTTCCTAAGATGCACAGGAAAATTAGCTGTGGTTGCATATTATACTTTTCAAATAAATCAGGGCTCCTGTGAAATTGTAACTTAAGGCTTCAAGATCCCCCCAGGTAGCACGTAACCCAGAGTTCGTTTACTGACTCCAACCCAAGGCCAAGCTGAAATTGTCACTCTCCACGGCTACTAAGCGCCTCCCACCAGCAACACCGAGAAATAAACTGAGCTTCCCGAGGCTCGAACCTACGGCTAGCTCCTCTTCATGACCGTAACCCTTGCGCGCACAGTGGCACTATAATAATAATAATAATAATAATAGCTGTTTCAGCGTTTAGTAGGCCGTAGGCCTGTCGCCGATTCTTATCATCACAGAACGTTCACTGCATTTTGCGGTCTTGAACGCGCAACTCACTGCTACAATTCTGCTGTGCTTAACCGCCCCCGCCTCCTTGCTGATTCTGACCAGAAACTGGCGCACAGAGCTGGGATCAAACCCGCACCTCTCTGCTCCAATCTTGGTACTCTGAACTGTAATCACTACACCCTGCCCCATTGCACTACGGTGGCATGTCCATAAGAATGGAGCGACTGACCTTGCGCAGGTTCATGACGGAGTGAGGGATGACGGAGGTCCAGGAGTGGTGGCACTTGGGACATGTATGCCGCGCCTTGAGATATTTGTGCATGATGGACTGCAGGATGGAGGCGAAGGGCGTCACGCCGATGCCGGTCGCCACGAGCACCGCATGCTGGGCGCCGAAGATGTGGCTAGAAGGTGCGCCGAAGGGCCCGTCTAAGTAGACCTGGTAGCAGAATTTCGTGAGCACAGCGTGATCATGATGTGAAGATGGCATGAATATGGCTTAAAAATGGAGTGAACATGGTGTGAATATGGTGTGAATATGGCGCGAATATGGCGTGAATATGGCGTGACGTGAACATGGCGTTAACATGGCCTTAACATTGCGGGAACATGGCGTTAACATGACGGGAACGATGTAACGTAATTGTCGTACATGTCGAGTTAATTAACCTACAATAAAATAAATTAAATCTAAAAATAACAATTGCCAGTATTGAAAATGATTGGTACGTCTACCCCATAACATTCAACAATTTTATGACAGTCCTACTCACAAAAACGTCCCAGATCCTAAATGCAGGGGTTAAGACCAATACTGACTAAAGATTTTTAAAAAGTTATCATATTACATATAGAATCGTTGTTATTTGAGGTGAACATTTAACTGAGCACAGTTCCTTATACTATCCAGCTCATCTCATTTAAAACCGGTAAAAAAACGTTAAAATATTTCTCAGAGTTATTGCTCTCGCTCAATGTCGTCTTTCTTCATCATAGCCTCAGCATTCAGCATGTGATCAATGGAGTCCATTAAAAAAAACTCTGCCATCATTCATCCAATCATTATAGCTTCACCCGCCAAGCCAATAACGCTAGAAATTATCATAGATCAAATTAATTGATTACTTATACCTCAAGAGGCTCTCCGATGTGCCTACCGAGGGCCTCGGCCTCCTCCAGCCGACTCACACGCCGGGTCCTTTTGCCATCGGCTGGTGGCCTAGTCCCAAAAGTCCCAACTTCTGCTGCGCCATGACAGGGAAAATAATTACCCTACGAAGCCTCAATCTTGTTTAGGGTAATTATTTTCTCGTTCAATCTTGTTTAGGGTAATTTTTAGAAGCCTCAATTTTGTTTACATGTATGCTCGAAATGAATAATATGTAAATAATTTCCTGTTCTACCAATCATGCTTATGAAACAGTCACAGATAAGAATGAATCATACGGTAGAAAGCAAGTATATATAGGTCATCAAATCTAGTATTATTGTTCCGCATTGTTAGAGACAAGGAAATAAAGACATAGTGGAGATTACTTTACGTATTTTCGTCCGTTGTTGTAGCAAGTTAATAGTTAACTAAGTAACTTTCTGAATTAGTTTAATAAATTCCCTCACATACACGAGTTGACGGTAACTAACTGAATAACGTCCATTTTAAATCAAATTATCCTGGTCAAGCATTCACCGTGAATGTCATTATCAGGACCCATGGCGTGTCGGGCACCCAGCGCCCCCCGGGGGTCAGGGCTGCCCCCCATCTTCCTGCCCCCCTTCGGGGGTCCACTCGCCCCCTCCTCGTCTGAGCCCGGCATGTCCAGCATCACCACCGCAGGCTTCACTCTCATGTACCTCAAATGATTAGAATAAACAAACTTCAAATACTTCTGGAAATACCAACGATCTGAAATAATAACTAAGTTTAGTAGCATAATGTGTATAGTAGTGTGTATGTAGTAGTATATGTGTATATAGCACACATAGGTAGACATTACTTACATTGAGCAACATTTGCATAGGGTATAAGGAGCATATAGGGTAACAACATAACGCTTATAGGGTAGAGATATTATTTACGTAGATCAACAATAGCATAGAGTAAAAAGCACAGGGTAACAACAGAACACATGTAACAACATAACACATATAGGTACAGATATTACATAGAGGTACAATAGCATAGGGTAAGGAGCATAGGGTAACAACATAGCACACATAGGGTATACAGATATTACTTACTTATAGAGCAGCAATAGCATACGGTAAGGCCGTAAGGGCAATAGGTAAAGTAAGAGTATGTTACACATATATAGGGTAAGAACATTGCTCACAGTGAGCAACTATAACATTTGGTAAGGAGCAGCATAAAAGGCAGAAACATGAATACTGTTATAGATGCCTGAAGTACTCGATTAACCAAGCTAATCGTTAGTTATATTTATTTGATTACTTAAATTATTGATTATTCCGTTTCATTGTTATTAATTTGTTTTGGTTCATACATCGTCATTTGACTCATCTCATGTATATATCAATAATATCATCAATTATTCCTTGTATATTTTTCTTATGTATTTTCTTGTAATTTCTTTCCAGGAACCGTACGTCATGCAATATTCGTTTACATGACGCGTAAACGAATATTAATATAATTAATATCCTGCCATTATGGCGCGTCTTGAAATAGCTTAGCGAACGCTCCTAAAGCACTAGCCTACAAGAAAGTTCGTTACAAATACAGTTTACAGAATGTATGCATTTTCATCGTGTGCATTTTCACGGTTCCTCCATCTTGGCCGAGCGTGCATTTTTACGGTATTTACTCTAATTTAATCGATAAAACGCGCCTTTCTCATTAGAAAACAAAAATCAGACACAATTACAGCTTTTTTCTAGAGCCGTTCTAGCAGCCCAACCATAAGCAAGCAAATCTGAAAAATTAAACAGAACCTTTAACATATCGTCTTTGATTATTATATCTCCAGATAGAAATGCAATTAGGTCTCCTATAAGGTGTATAAAGAAATGCAGATTATTGGAGAAGCGGTAACTGAACATTAACAAAAGTAAACGAGGGTATAATGCTTACTTGTATGTAAGTTCCACGGACTGATCCGCGGAATTGAAGAACGTTCCTCCATCTTGGCTGAGCGGGTGACCCGCCTTGACTGCAGCGCCGCTTTGAGGCTGCATTTTTGCACCGCCGGGGGTAGAAGTTTGGTGGCAACCGTCGCCGTCAAAAGCTTGGTTGGTGGCAGCAACATTTCTTCCAAACAAGCGAGCTACTTGGAGAAAATTCCTAAGTATAAATTTCCCTCTCAAAATGTTCGCACTGACTCTCAAAATATAGACAATATCTCTCAAAATATAGACACAGACTCTCAAATAATTGATACAGACTCCCAAATAATCGACACAGTCTCTTAAAATAGACAAACTGCCTCTCTCAAATTATGGACACGGCCGAAAACACTGTCTCTCAGATAGAAAAGGTGCATTATGTTAAAAGAATTTTCACCTTTCAATGAAACTTTTAATTTGTGGAGATGAGGAGAAGAAGACAGGCTGGAAGACCAGTCTTTATAGAATAGAACAGAATAGAAGTGTCGGCATTGAAGAAATAGGCCTATGTTCCATGTCACAGTAAATAATTGCAGAATGTAGGCATCAAGCCGTCCCACTCATTGCAGTCAATCAAATAGCAATAGAGAAGCAATGTTTCATGAAGGAAAATTTTTAAAGTAGTATTTTATTGATGAATTAACTCAGGTTTGTCACGAGCAGCCAGCTGAAATGGGGCGTGCCAGCGGTCCCCGAACAAGGGGTGACTTATTAAAAGTCGTAATTCATTTGAGTTTCGAGGGTGGCGAAGGGATAACAGTTGTAACCCATTACACATCTATATTGACGTTGACGGCATTTGGGAAAAGTTCAACATGCTTATTGCGGCTTTTTAAATAGGATTGAAGGGTGAAAAGGTCCTGGTACACCTGGCCTTGGCGATCCCTACACCAATAGTTGTGGAAATATCTCTGCATGTATATTAGATAAAACTCTTACATTCTTAATGAACCTAAGCCTAAATATTTGCACAGTGGGCAAGTTTGAATATCAAGTTCATCTGCCTTTTTTATTCAGCAGATTTTTAATTTTGATTTTGTACATTGTCCTTCATGTTCAATGGTTATAATTTTATTCTGTTCTTGTTTTCAAAAATATTGGTCAGGAAAATCATGATCTGATTCCTTTTGAAAATAACTTCCGACATCATAACTCATCAAATAGTTATTTATAAACCTCAGGAATTAATTGTGTATATTTTCTCCCCTAGCATTTGTCTTAAGACCTTTACTCGGCTTCCGTCCTGCGTTCCCGGAATTTTTGTTTGAATAACGAAACTTTACCTGGAAGCAGTTAATCAACATTATATTTCTTTCACTCGACTAGGAAAGTTGGAGCGTCAGCCTTCCTGACGTGCGCCTCACCTTCGGCAGCGTCACCTCCATGCCTGCAAAAGACGTATATATATAATCTGTTGAGTCATAAAAGTATCAGCTGGACATTATAACGATAGGTAAAACTAATATTAAAACGAAACCGGAAATTTTGGTGGGCTGCGATGATTTACATCGTCCAGGCTTACATCCTCATTTAAAGATGAAATCTATTTTGAGCGCTTTAATGGTCGTAATTATGTTATGCACTATTAAGATTTGTACAATCAAAAATAGTACGAGAAAAGTTATCAATCAACTTGAGAGATTTGTAATGATATTTATAAAAGAGAATATTATAAACTCTGTATATCATGATTAGAACGGGAAAATAAATACTATCGTGAACAGAACGAACGACGATCACTAAGCAACAGGCTTTCAGCAACGCATATATGAGTTGATTTCCATTTAAAATAATATCGTTCCATTGGATGAGATCCCGACTCTAATGTTTTACATTCCGTACTTATAAAACATTTTCAAATAAAAAGTGGGCAAGTCAACCCTCAGTCCTCACTCGCGCTGCTGTAGGCGCGGCGAGCAGACGTTGGTGTGTTGCTGCCGCTGGAAGTAGTCGTACAGGCGGTTAGTCCACTCACCCACAGCACGGATGTGCAGCCACAGCGCACCTGCAGGGTGATAATCGTGTTATTGCGCGATTACCTGAATAAATTCCATAATATAAATTATTATTCTGTTTACTTGCTGAGGGATAGTGAAATGATGTGTGTAAATCTTTCATTGTACGGCAAACATACAGCATTCCTTCTACATCAACATTCGACGTAATTTCAATGATAGATAATTTGACTCTTTGCCAACGGATATATTTTCCGACGTCAATGCAGTTCGAATCTAGTGGGTTGGAAGGAGCGGTCCCGTCAGAACATTAAGTGTTAATTGAAAGATATGAGATCGAGTATATACTCAAGCAAGCTATCAACAATTGAATTAACATCGTCACATAGAAAACACAGCACCTCAAATTAAATTGCGAACGTTCACAAGTAAAATGTGTTCCTTCATTTGGTTGAGTCTGGAGAAAATTTTTTGTGGATTTTGATGAAGTACAAAAGAATTTATATTATCAATGAACCATGCAAGTCGACGAAACAATTGGCAGACATATGCGTAAATTGCTCTCGAGTTTTTTATCTTTCATCAGTAGTAAAACAGAGGAACTTGATCCTGGCCTCTAAATATTGGCAGAATAACAAGGTCACAAATCCATGTCATTTACAGTGAATACATACCCGAATATTTACCCATGTCATTTACAGTGAATATTTACCCGAATATTTACCCATGTCATTTACAGTGAATATTTACCCATGTCATTTACAGTGAATATTTACCCGAATATTTACCCATGTCATTTACCCGAGCAGGACTCACCGTCGTGCTCAGGAGCGGACGACAGGGTGAAGGGATGCCACTCGTACTTGGCTATCGCAGGGACGTTCACGTAGACGAAGTCCCCAGCGTGGAACTGGAAGTTCGGTGGCCTCTGGATCACCAGGTTTACCACCTTCGAGGGCAGCAGCACTCCGGAGCTGCGGGGTTAATATTACTTGAGAATTAGAGCTTTGAAGATAGGATATTAATTCCAAAGCTTAAGGATTTTTATTAGAAAATAAAAGCGCTTCCTGTGAAATCTTCTGAAAATGCTGAAGATGTAGCTCCACCCGCACTCTGAAGGTATTAATGCACGCGGAAAAATGAATGAGTCATACTGTCAGCAGAGTGATGACACAAACAAGGGTAAAAGCTCATCGCAATTTCGACAAAGTCTCACCCATTTCTGTGAGTGTACGCTCGTCACGCTCACCTGATGTGCGTGCGGCCGCGGCCTGAGCGCATGACGAGCGTGCGATGTATACGCTCGAGCAGGAACAATACGCCTGGCACGCACACCCACATCCAGAACCTGGGCGCGTGTAGCACCGTCAGCGTCAGGAACAACACGTACAGCAGGTGTGTCCAGTAGAATACCTGCGTATAGACAGAGAAGAACAACACGTACAGCAGGTGTGTCCAGTAGAACACCTGCGTATAGACAGAGAAGAACAACACGTACAGCAGGTGTGTCCAGTAGAACACCTGCGTATAGACAGAGAAGAACAACACGTAGAGCAGGTGTGTCCAGTAGAACAAATGCGTATTGTGAGAAAAAATTCATATCAGACTTGTAGATTGCCGACTTCATTTTATTATCAACGCCAATTAATAATGATAATTCGTAATAAACTCGGAAATAGTAATTAATATTATAATAACTAAGGCCTATCCATAAAGATTGATAAGTTTTATACCTCGAAGTAGCCCGACTTGCGGACGAAAGGCTGGGAACAGACGACCATGATGGAGAGGACGGGCATCAGCAGCATCCCCGTGGGGTTGGCCCAGCCTGCCACCAACCCCAGGCGCTTGGGGCAGTCCGTCAGCAGCAGTTGCGCTAGACTACAGTTGTGGTCGTTGATCTCCCCAGGTGACGTCTGGTACTGCAGAACACTGCCTGTACAATGTAACTGTACTGCAGTACACTGCCTGTACAATGTAAGTGTACTGCAGTACGCTGCTTGTGCAATATAACTGTACTACAGTACACTATATGTACAATATAATTATACTGCAATACTAGAGAGCGATGATTCTTCACCGCAACATAAAGTGTCTCAATAACGCAATTGAGTTTTGAATGTGGCAGCGGACCAAAGCACAGACAGCAAAATATATCTCATTTAATTTGACAAAAATAAGGAACGAATACTCTGAATAATGAATAAAAACAAATATCACTAAAAAAATTAATAATAATCACATACCGAAATTGATAAGATGCATGAGAGAGTGCAGGAGGGATAGCCAGAAGATGAGGCTGCCGCAGAGTTTGTGCAGATACAAGTGATGGTCCAGCGGCAGGAAGGCGCCGGCGCCGTGCGTGCGCAGGAGCGTCAGGGTCTCCCGCAGCGTCAGCACCAGCACCAACGTGCAGTTCAGGTTCAGGCACTGGCCTGGGCAACGCAAGCATCTATAGTAAGCAATCGCCAAGAATTTCAGAGAAAAGAAATGCATATTAAATTCACAATGTCTTCACAGAAAATGTTCCGGAGTCATGTTTCGTCAAAAGTTTTAAAATTGAAAGAATAAAAAGTATATTGAAACACAGATGCAACTATATATATAAACCTGATAAAAAATACCGCAGTACATTTATCGCATATAATTTAATAATTTCAAAGTAACAAAGATAATATTCAAAGCCGGGAACTATTCAATTAAGAAACCAAAACATACATTTAAGGGAGCCAATACATTTTTTGAGTCCGTTTGTACTCCGGGCCGCGGTTTCTAAAGCAATTTTATCATGAATAACGATGTATATTAAGAAAATAAGTACATATGAAATTTAACTCTGAACAATATTATAACGAGCAACTTACCACACGCCCTGGCTACGATGGTGTAGCCGTTGGACTCGCGATACTCAATGGCCCGAGAGATGAAGAGACTCAAGTTGACGGCGGTGTAGACGACAAGGAAAGACAGGAGGACGTAGTTGTTCTTGATGTAGGGCAGGCTCAGCTGGTACGGCTTCAGCTTCTTCAGCCTCGTCAGGAGCGAAGGCTGCTGGTCCTCGAGAGGCTCGGGAGGCACGAGCCACCGGTCGATGCTGCGACGCCACACAAATTACAATCCTATATACCAACTAATTTTTTTTAGCTATTCATAACTAACAGAAATTATAATGTAACATATATTTTTAGCGCATTTTCTCATTTATGGAAAAAATGCACTATTGTGCTCGCCATGTCCGTCTGTCCGTCTGTCCGTCCGTCTGTCTGTCCGTCCGTGGAGGAGCACGAACCTGTGCTCGTTTTCCAAAGCAACGAGCAGTTCTGGGAATGACTTTTAAGTCGACTATTTATAAGCGAGTTAATAATGAATTATTGCAACGCCAGAAAGCTGTATAAATTAGTTTCAGAAGATATTGTGATCTTTTCAATGGCAGCCAATTTTTATAAACTATCTTAATAGTGTAGTTTGTTCTAAATGAAACTGGAACTGATTGATTCCAAGTGCGATGGAGATCTTATCCGGCCGAAGCCACTTTGGTTGCCAGATCTCTGTGTATATTCATGTTAAAATTAGCATAATTCAGTCTTTAATTAACCTCACCTTATTGAAAGATTCTCGAGCAGCCCGTTGTGTTTCTCGAGCTGGAACTTGAGAGCATCGTAAGTGATATTGCCTTCATTCGCAGCATCGGCGTCGTCAAACATCGCCTGTGTGAGGTCCTGGATCTGTTCTTTGGTGAACGTCATGCCGTTCTCCTCCATGCACGCCTGCAGCACCTGCTGCAGCTCCTCCTGCTGGATGAACCCGTCCTCTGCGCAAGTCCATAGCGTCAATAGGGCCATGGATAACAACAGCACAATGCGTGGTAGATCAACGCAATTCAGCAGCCAACATATCAGCGAAATTCAACCGCCTATAGAACAGCATTCACCCGCCAATAACCAAATAAGATCGCAAGAGCCTAATTCATCTGCCGGCAATACAGTGAATACGTCAAAAATAACATAAATTACTGAAAAAAATAATTACATCGGGATAAGAACGCAATTCTTCCAACGAAAAAGAAAAAAGTTCACTAGTCAGCAATAATTCGACCGCCAGCAATGAGTCAACTCGTCAGTAATGACTTCAAATGTCCGACATAACTGGATTTATTTATTAACTACTAATACGACAACCCACCAACCATTTACTCTATGACTGAAACGAAATTTATCCAAGTTTTAATAATAAACTAGGCACAGCTATGAAGGAGCATATGTTCAGTCTTGAAATGCCTAGCACCTTAAGAACTTGTACGTCCAGTCGAGATCAAACCAACGTCAGTTACGAAAAGAGCTGGTCAATAGGCCAGTTTATAGATCTCCTGCGAATCAAGACACGAAATGTACAAGAATCAGCGACAGGCCATGGGCCTATTTCTTCAGCCCTGATACTTTTATTTTATTCTATTATAAGTGTCGGGGAAATTCGTTCGCCCGGCATAAGGCAATTCATCAGCCAAAAGCCCATTTAGTCGCGAGTTCATTTTCAACGGCCAGAAGATCGGAATGTGATGACAATTTTTACGCTGACCTACGGCGTATTTCTAGTGCTCGCGAATCAAAAATACCTTACCGTCCTACTCGCTGGTTTTGCATACTTCTATTCTAAAAATCAAATAGGAAGCTATTCAGTTGAGAATAATCATATTTTCTAATAAGAATCTTAACAATTTGATGATAAAGCAATGCATCCAGACCATCCAGATCGTAAACTTTGAAGAGGAACTTGAACTTGTCGTTGGGGGACTGGCCAGCGAACTGCTGCATGGCGCCTAGGAACTCTGACAGCGACACAGAGCCGCTCTTGTCTCGGTCGAAGATGTGGAAGACGCGCTCCGCAAAGAACGACTGCACAGTCAAGGGTTTATATTCAATGCTTGTATTATAGCTTTATATTCGATGCCTATACTCTACATTATATTCGATGCTTATATCCTACTTTATATTCGATGCTTATATTCTACTTTATATTCGATGCCTATACTCTACATTATATTCGATGCTAAAACTAGGACTGAATAAAACATTTAAATTATTTACAGCTAACTTATTTTGGAGCTAAATAATTTAGGAGGTTTTAGCGATATTTGATTACATTAAAACTTTCAGAAAGTTTTCAAACTCAGAGTTATTATAGAATTATTAACATTCAAATTAAAAAATTATTTATTATGTTGAATGTTGGCATTTCTGTTTATTATAACTGAGTTTTTTCGAACTGATGAGAAGCTGGCCGTTAAATTATTGATCATGGCTCACCTATAATGCAAACAATACCAGATTTTATAGAGAAGTTTTTTGCAGAGAAATAATCGGCCACCTTAATTGTGTGTACTTCGTTTCACGCAAACTTGCTGATGTTTAGCCGCTAGAAAAGACTAATCTGATGTTGAGAGGAGCGGTAAGATCTCATAACCTAAAACAATTTTGGAATTTAATTCATAAACATTAAGTTTTTCCAAGTCCTATAATATTCAATGATTATATAATATTCAATGATTATATAATATTCAATGATTACATAACCAAGCGTTCAAGGTTGTCACGTAAACACAATCAGTGCGTTCGAGAAGCGCCCGATAGCACACGGACTGTGCGTGTTTCTAACGAATTATTTACAAGTTATAATTGGGGAACAGATAGATGAAACACGCAAAATATGAATGAAAATCAACACGGGTATTTAAAATTCAACATAATATATATGAAAATAACGAAACATCAAATCTCTGAACGATTTTCGCGCGTCACCTTTTCTAGAACATTGCGGTACGTGTTGGCGAAATCCAAATATTCCGTCTAGTTTCATACGATTTCCAGTACGGGCTCGCAATTGTTCAAACAAGCAGCGTCGCCTACAGCGCGCAAAAACAAGGCCTATCAAGAATTAGCCGTAAAAGATATAAAGAAATCACTTTCACCTTCCCAATAATTTGCGGTAGCGAAATGGTCGGCAAAAAGTTATTGGACGTGGAATTTCTCTAATGACAATTTCGGTGCCCTTGGCAAATTAGATACGTTAAGTTTTGCGAAACACTGAGAAACGAAATAATGTAGAGTTATTTCGAATGATAAAGTCATATTGGTTCAGAATCAAACAAAAATGTTTAATATTATGCTAACAAACAGACATTTGGGAATGGTATTATACAAGCTCAACGGCAAAAACACAAACTCAAAAAAGTACGATAAATTCGGTCGATTTTTTCCTGCCCGTACAACTTGAAATCAAAGTCAGTGACAATATTAGTTGGTTAATAATTTATGAAGAAACAACAACACGACCATGCCCTTAATTTTTAAATCTTGTATTTACCTGTACATTTATATCCAATATTCCAATTTTTGTGTATTTTATATAACATTATTCAATAATTTTGGAATGATGTTATTTCAATATACTCTTCTTTTTCGGCAAATTTGGACATGAAACACATTAGAATATTTTCATGATACGTCCGCGATCGTGGCAAGTTATTAGTTTTGATGACATTGTATCTTGGAAGGAGTTTGTTTCTTTAATTTTTAATAAAAATTTGTTCATTATGCAATTATAATTCAATTTCACAATATTTTTTCCTTTATTAATCACGAATGTATTCACTTTTGGCTTGCTTCACGATCTGTAGCAACGAGTTATATAGGCGGCAGACTGTAGACTCACATTCCTGGAGTGTATGATCTACTTATCTATCGCAGACTCACATTCCTGGAGTGTATGATCTATTTATCTACTGCAGACTCACATTCCTGGAGTGTATGATCTACTTATCTACTGTAGACTCACATTCCTGGAGTGTATGATCTTCTTGAAGTCGTCGAAGGTAAGCTCTTGCTTGTGCCCCAGCGCCTGACGGAACACCTTCTCCAGCCGCTCCAGGTTCTCCTGCGTGAAGCCAGTGCGCGACCTGCCGAGGGCATGTAGGCTTATAACTTTATAGGGTGTCATGATGCAAAACATCATTATCAAGTTAAATTAATCTGACTCACATATTGAAATTGTAAAGGCATGCAGACCAATTAACACGTTGACTACGATTGCTTCATCTTGTACTATTATTTCATTTTTATAATGTTTTTAAACAGGGTTGCCAGACGGTTATTTTTTCCGGACAAATTCCGTGATTTAGTTTTTCTCAATTGCGTTGGCCGGCTAAAATTTATGATATGGGTACTTCCTAATTGAATTTTAAGTACTGGAAAAAGAAAATAAATGGAATTTTTATAGCGGAACCTATAAATAAACTAGTATATATTGAGTTATCGGCCTTTTTTGGCCTTTTTTGTTCCCGGATTTGGCCGATTTTAGGCAACCTGAATTATGCACCACTTCGTCCTGGAGAAATACATTTCGTAGTACGCATATGTACCACTTCGGAGTCAACGTGTTGAAAAATATTGAAAGTAAAAAATCTCAAAGAGCCGTTAAAAGAGCAACCATGCGTTTTTAAACGAATACAGCACGACGTCTGCTTTAGCTATATTACACTACTTAGCTTAGGTCCAAATTCTCGTAAACTTTAGCTCAGAATTGGTATATTATTATACAAACATTTTCCTTTCATTATCCCGCAAAAGGTTTCTAGACACAGAAAAACACTGAATGAGCTAATATTTCGTATATGGTATACTACAAGTGGTCATTCATACTGTTCTGTACAGACTGTACTGTACTGTAGCACAACACGATACCCTATATATAACATATTTATGCAATACTTATGATACAATGATAAACTTACTATACTATACTATACTATACTATACTATACTATACTATACTATACTATACTATACTATACTATACTATACTATACTATACTATACTATACTA